AACATTACAGGAGACTAACACAAGACACTTCACTAGTGTTACAGTTGAACTTCACTGGGACCTGGGGAGACCCCCACTACCTGGGACTGACCGGACTGGAGGTGCTGGGCTGGGAAGGAGATCCTCTGACTCTCAGTCCCAGGATGGTCAGTGCCACCCCTCGGGACATCACAGTCCTTCCAGGTTATGAAGACGACACCCGGACACTGGATAAGTATGTCAATCTTTGTCATTCTAAACTTCAAACTTTTTTATATCATACAAGGTTCAAGATCTTTCATTGTATTGTTTAGAATTTTGTGATATTGTGGTTTGCTTTTGCCTTTTAAGCTTTAGTAAGTTGTTACCTCCGGGGAAGGAGATATCCTTCCGCGAGGAGGTTTTACTATGGTTCGAAACATTTCTGTCAGCAGCTGTTTCTCGCGATCGGCTGGACGGATTTGTCTGTGGTTCGGTATACGTATTGCTATTGGGCTGCAGATGATGCAGAACGTTTTTGTTTAATTGCATATGTGTTTATGGGCGTCGAAATAAAAGGTTTTTAAGTGCTCCGGACACCCCCGCCATGCTGAAAATGGTAATTACCATGTTGTTAAGGAATGGGGCGGTTGCAGTTTTGGGTCTTAGCATTCAAAAGGGGTCAAACAGAGGGGTGTCTGGTTCCGATAAAAATTTTGGGTGACGGCGCAGCAATGACGGCGCGGGATGACGGCGGGAGTAATGGCGCGGGTGACGGTGCAGGCTGTCAGACTGTGAGACACGTTAATCAACAGTCCATACCGAACCAACCATCAGTAGCCATCAAACACATACAAACATATTACGCACATAACTTTCATACTACACACAAACAAATAACCTAAACCAATAGAACACAAAAAAAACGGAGGTTTGAAATCTACGATTTCCCTTGTTATTTTTAACATTATTAGGTTGGTGGATGGCTGCAATGTGACCACAGGAGACGAGCACATGTGGTTGATACCATTTAACGAGGGGGACGGCCATGTCCTGACCATTGACCTTGGCCAGCCACAGTACCTGACAGGACTGAGGTTTTGGAACTACAACAAGAGTCGTGAGGACACTTACAGAGGGGTACGGCATCATTGTTTTCTTTAACAATTCCATGTACATCTTTACT